CTCTGCCTCATCCTCATGTCTCACTTGACATGGTTGGCCTCATTTGAACTTTTGACCTGCCTGTAATTTGCAATGTAAGCTATCCAATTTACAACACCTTCACAGCGGAGCATGCTAACGATTATTCATCACTGCAGTGCAGGCTTGAGAGAGAGAGAGAGAGGTAGTGTGTAGATGATGCTGAGGATGTTAACACTTTAGAAAGATTACTACCTGAAAGGGATGCCAATGTCAAAACAAGAATACATATGTGTGCATAACACTTTTCATAATAAAGACAAAACTTATATGCTTGCGTTATTCTCTAACTTGAAACCTTCCAAAAGCAAAAGTATTGAAAATGTGCAAAATAAAACAGAAAACACGGTTCATACAGTCACTCAGTGTTAAGAGCACCAGCTGCATCTCAGCTACCGTACAGAGACACTGGTGCTGCAGGCATTGATATGACTGATAATAATGTTTGAAGCCTTGTGTCACGTCAGTGAATCAACAAATATGAACTCTTGCCCTGCAGATCCTTTCTCGCTAAAAAAAAAAACATGATGCATCACCCTCACCATGAAACTGATCTGGTGGTTTGGGGATTTTGAGCAATTCCATCACAACCCACAGCAGAATTAGCCCGCTCCAGTCAGTGGACAGCGAGCATTCGTCAGCAAACTCTGCAGTGAGATGCAACTCAATGGCAGTCAACGTTTCCCCTAATGGGAAACAATTACACACTCAGTGGCTTCTTCAGTGACTTCTGATGAGACTCATTCACTGAGGAAATGGCCACGTAATCATGTGTGTGTAATGCGCTAACGCTGCTTATTGCTCACTGAGCTCGTGCAGAGCCAGTCAGAGCTTCAGTTGGCTCTTTAGCCACCATATGAGTTTGATGAGAGGTAAAATGGGAGAGGAAATAGCTTTAAGTGTACACTCGGAGAAATCCCTCTATTGTCATGGACTTAAATGTGTCCAGAGAAACAAGGCTCCCTCAAAGCCAAATGATTCCTGTTGCTTCGTCTTTCTCAGGAGAGACACTTTGTGAATAGATTGCACAGGGGAAGAGGCACTTTTTTGTGATTCATACCCAGCTGGACTACTTCACTGATGTAAACTCTCAAACATACCCAAATTACTCTTCCGAGGCATTCAGGTTGTTGTTTTTAGCTATGGTGATAGATTCTGTCACAAAAATTGGTTCAGCTGTCTTAAAACTAGGATTTACACTGATCGAAGCTATTGCTCTTAAGTTTGCGTCAATCCCTCAGTAAACCTTCAGTAATTTCAATGAAGATTTTGTGTTTATACTTTGGTATATCAGGGCAAAGTCTACTCTCACAATTCAAATTTATTTTTGACATATCTCTACAGTATATTGATAGATTTTAACACTGCAAACTGCAGAGAGCATTATGTCTCAAAGAAAAATATGCAACACATAATAGTGAGAGTGGAGTGAATGTTTATCTTAAAAGACATCATAAACTTATATTGACATGCATGATGGAATATCACTGTATTAGGATTTCATGGCTGAACCTTCTCAACAAGTTGAATGCCATGTAATCCTGAGGGTAATTAATCACATCACTGTGAACACTGATAACAAAGTTATTAGCAGCAACAATTATTTTTGAGATAATTATTCTATGATGATCCAACCTTCTGATGTGAATCGAAAGGGTTCCGGCTTCCTGATCCACCCAAGAGAATTCAGATTGGCTAGTCATTCAAATATTCTCATTTCCTCATGTTCAACATTTCCTGGACCTGATCGCGCACATATCGTGTTAGTTATGCATGCAAAGCTGATGCAAATAGTAAGCAACAGTGTCACTTTTTGTTTGATTCAAGCCAAAGGCAAGTTCCAATATTGGTGGTCGAAAGTAGTGGTTGAACCTCTCATTATCCAAGGTTTTGTAATTTTTGACAATTATGTTGCTCATTGAGGACAAGCGTATAGGACAAGCGTATAAGATGAGCCAGAAAAAAACGAATGAATGAAAAATAAATGAGTTATCAAAGGTATTTATATGTATTGCATCCAGGCATATTGATTTAGCATTCCCTCACTGTGTAAAAAGACTGATAATCTAAGGTGTTGTGATAGTATCTTAGGTCTTTGGATACCTTCCTAAAACTACTTTGGCATTATCTATTCAACAAACCACTTTCTTTTATATTTATATAAAAAGAAACATTCATCTTCTTTCTTCCTTATATATTTATTTATTGTCTTCGTAAGATAGGAGCACTCTGAGGCATGAAAAAAGACCTGTGGATGCTATCTGCCATCCCAGGGTCTTTTCTATAGATGCATATGACTTAAGTGTTTGTTTAAAAAGAGTCAGTTGACTTTCGTGTATCCCCGCTCCTTTGTATTCACATGCAGAGGCAGACAGAGGTCAGTGATCAATGTTCGGTGGCTTTTTAACAACACATGAGTACATACTTGCCATTCTCCACAGTCATGTAAGATAACTCTAGAGTTTGAGTCTCATTAAACATACCAGTAGAATAAGATGTATAAAAAAATGGTTTCACAAAAAGTCTAAGATGGCAGTGACTAACTAGCAAATCATCAGCACAAGACTTGTATTTCAATCTTAAACTTCCTTCATCTCTGCAACATGTGGCTGGGAAGGGTTTATCACACTGAAGGTTTATCTAAGTGTGGGGGAGAAGTGCTATCCTGCAGGGAGAGATTGCCTTTACTTGCACGGCACCAACAGAGCAAAACAATGTGCCGCATGATAAAGAATTGCTTCATAACTCTCACATTGTGTGTCTGGCATCATTATGAGGCACAATAGCCTCTGGAGGGCCCCGGCTTTTATTGGCATGCCTGTTGCAGCAGCAAAGTCTCATCCATTAAACAAATCAGGGGGTTATGTATTAGATTAGCTGTACAGCAGGCACCGGGGAACGCCTAGAAGAACACATGAACCCTCGTCTCATTCCGTCTCATCATCCCCTGGAATAAATTACCTAATTGACAGCATTAGGGTGATGCTGTCAGAAGGTGCCTCTTAAAGCGTAATGTATAATGAAAATACGCAACATTGCTAAATTGCATTTTTAGTATTTAAAATGATAAACGGCAGCCATTTGGGGCACATTTAGAGTGAAGCCTCCCCACGTAGCATGCTGCCAGATCCCATTTTTCAATATTTCTTAATAAATTTGTGGTGTCAGTGATATTAAAAGCCCATTTCTGCTGAGGAATATTTAATAAAGCTTCTGTGTGATAGGAAGCCAATGTCACACAGAGAGTCAGGAAACTAGTTGGTGGCAGCTTGGATCGCCCACCCCCGACTGTGTCACTCCGCTGCTTCTATGACCTATAAGGTGAGAAATGGACTGCCCCCCACTGGTGACGGGTCAATACTGCAGCGGAGGTTCAGGAAGTGCCCCTCACAGTTCAGTGCACTATTCATTCTGCAACCAAGCTGAAAACAACAGAGCCTTTTGACTTTCTTCAAAGTGAAAACGGTCTGCATCCCATTTTCTTAAAGTGTTGGGAACACTTAGCTCAGGAAAGTTCAGTTTACTGTTCCAGGATCAGAAAAAGCACCGGGCTAGGCAGTGTGTGTGGTTTGTGTGCGCGTGTGTTGGCGAGTGGTATGTATGCCTCCCTATTGGATGCAAATATAGCCTTGAATGATTTCTGGGGAGGAGTGATCTGCCTATAACTAAAATAAGGATGTTTATGGACTTGAGTCAATTATTGCTCAGGCATATACTTTGATGTAATGGAAAATCAAAAGAAAGGTAAATTGCCTCCTCCAGTGTTAATAAATTATAATACAACAACCACTTGCAGGAGAGCACAAACATTACACTTTTGAGCCTTAAAACACCCTATGATAAAAGTTGCCTGCATGGTACATGTTATGGTGCTATCTATTATCATAATTATGCACTTCTTTAACCCAAATAAATAAAGATGTTAAATTCATTCATCTAATAAATATATATGTATATTACAGTCAATGGCACTTGATTCACCTTACTGATAAACCTAGCATAAGATAAACACTAAAACGTATTTAAAGCCTTTGTGTGTGGTGTGGTGTGTGTGTGGGGTGGGGGTGTGGGGGGTTGAGAGGACTTAGGGTGGAAGGACAGTCAGAGTGCAGGATTTCTGTCCAGATGTGTGGGCATATTGTAACCCCAGGAGGTGTTCACCCTTCTCTTAAAGTGTAAAAGCAGGCAGCAGCTGGTTCCGAAAATAATAACCTTTAGTCACATTGTTTCCTATGCTCCCATTGTCTTAGTTATTTTTCTGTCACCGCAAAGTCACTGCTTTCAAACTATTACAAATAGCTTAGTGAGCACAATACTATCACGATCTAAACGTTTTATTTGTGTCATTTACACTGAGCCACCCCTGGGGAAATGATTACCCTGAATATACAGAGAGATATCGCCTTCAACAGTAATGAACTCTGATAACTGAGGAAAAATGAATATGTTTGCTTTCGATGAAACCATGAAAACAGCAGATATAAGAAACAAATATTCAGAATCACAGGATCAACAGCAAAATGACAGTTTAATTCACTATAACACTGATCATAATAAAATGTATTCTAACATGGGCATCACTCTCCCTGCACTCCCAGAGTACAGTGCTGGCAGCTCAGTTCAGTATTAAATCAACAACACCTCCAATATGAGACTATATCTTATCGAATATGGATACTATCTTCCAAAGCGTATGAAAGCCACCTATAAGTCATATGCAGCTCTGTTTCACCCATTACACCTACAAATCCTTCTGGCAGCATTCATCTCTGCTGTGTTCGGTGTGACAGGTGCAACGGAGCCGACGCACAAATTCATGGGGTTTGGGCATCCTGTGTCAACCAATGGCAGCGCTTCAGTATTTGTGGCTGGCGGGGTTTCGGGTGACTGTCGTGCACCTGTGCCAATCACGGAGCCAGTAGGCGGGGTTCAGGGACTCGGAGGTGTGTCTGAAGAATACGAGTCTACAGCTGCATACTGTATCCAAGTCGGGGAGTAATGGCATGAGTAGTGCTTTATACTGTTTAGACAAGCTTTACAGTGCGCGTAAGAAACTTAACATTCGACTCTTTGTGCTCTCACGTCAGTCACTAATTTGGCCTGCAGGCACCGAGAGGCGAGGCGGAAGACTGTCGGACAAATTGTAAACTTAGTCAAGAGCGACTAAAGTCCCCAAAACTCACAAGCTGAAGAGGCTTCAAACGCAAACGATTCATCCTTTCTGACAAAAAGGATACGCTGCTGGACATGTGAATTTAAAGGAGATACTCGCCAAGCACAACAATGAAACCAACGACTGTCCCGTGTTGCTTCGGCTTTCTCCTGACTTGCCTTTTGTTCGGGTTGAGCTCTTCGCAATCAGGTGAGTGGACGGCATCCGTGTGCTCCACGGTGCGCAGTTCTGTGTGTCCGTGGAGCTGCTCTGCGCGCGCTGAGCGCAGTGGCATAGTTACTATCCGTGGAGCACACTTTCCCCTGTACTGTTGTTGTTTTCATGCATGTTACATAGGGTGTTCCTCCCGCGTCCTGCTGTCATTTCAACTATCAGTCAGCATCATAATGTTAAGAAGCGTCTAAAATGGATTGACGTGCACGCAGAAAGAGCGCATGCTGAAACACAGGTGCTGGTTTGAGCAGATGGCAGGTTGTCGCGGGACATATCTGTTGTGATGAGCTGAATGAATCAATGCCAGGGACTTGCGCTGTCTTCTTCGTGCACAGAGCGGCACTGTTGAATTTGAGAGGGGAACGGGGAGCATTTATTGTCCAATTGCACGTGTCCTTCACACAAGGTGTGGACAAACACGGAGGAGTGACAGCCTCGCTTTACAACCGGCTACTGTGCTCTTGTCTTCCCTCCTGTGGCTAAACAGGCTGTCTAATGCTCGACTGTGTTTCAAAAGTTCCCTCTTGCCTGTGTGTCCTTTCCCTGATCAACAGCAATATCAGTATAGAAATAATATAATGTAACTCCTGCATCGTTTTTTTATATTTATTTTGAATATCGGTGCGTCCGTCAATTTGATCAACTACTTTAAATTGAATGTCCTGCAGGGACTGGCTTGGAAATAGTCTATTGTTGTCTTTTCGTACTGATCCTCTCTCACCTGAGCAAACGGTGATAACAGTGGTAGACATTCATACATTTGCATTCTGAAAACGGGATCAAAGCGGACCGGATTACCATGAAATTACATTATTCCCCATTTTATAGTGAGTCCCTTCGGGGATTCCGTGGACCACAGTTTGACAATCCGCGCTGTAGCGCACAGGACTTTCTCACTGACAGTGGCAGTACCGTGTGTACAGTGCAGCGGCGCTCTTTACGCACAGGGGAGCTAAGTGCGCTCACCGTCTGTGTGTGTGTGCGTGTGTGTGTGTGTGTGTGAGAGAGAGAGAGAGAGAGAGAGAGATCGAAGGGCTTGTAAATAACATGTCCATAATTCACACACGTTCGCTTCCTTTATCCATTATTTCGTTCTTTCAACGGTTTTTAACGATGGTCTTTACACCCAGTGCATACAGATTGCACCCAATCATAGCGTAATATCTCAACATCGTCTTAAAAGTCGTTGAATTAAACTGTTCAAGCAAGTGTTGAAAATCTGCAATGGATGTGAGATCATATATTCATACGGTGTCACATTTCTTTTTTTTTATTTTACGAGTGGATAGTTCTGTCCCATTGCACCTGGTCTTAATGTTTAAACATCTTAAATAAGTGAAACTGTTTTCCCAACAGTTTTAGGTACATCAGCACATTGTTTGACGTGAAGACATATTTTGAGGCATATTTTTCAATGCAGACATTTGATCTTATTACCAATGAAAGCGTAATGCGCGGACCCACATCTGTAACATGGTCAATACGATCTGATTCCAGTAGAGCCTCAAAAGGAACAGAGTATGATTGAATTAAAGGTTGGATGCGGATTCGAGAGGGACTAGGTGGGATGCGTGTCCTCCTGTCATTTTATGCACGTAACATTTCTCTATGTGAAAATGATGAGAAAGTCAAATGAATCATCCCTCACATAAAAAGAGCATGCATTATTTGCCACAGACGTTGTGCGATGGAAATCGCGGCTAATTAAGGAAACAATTTGGTTTTAGATTTGAGGGTCATTTTGGGCAGATTAGAAAAACAATATCCTTCATTTGAGTAAGTTTCGATTTGTCAAGAATGTTGTTTTGCAGTGTTTGTCCAAACAAGCGGTATACTGTTAAAAAAAACCCTGATTTCATTCTATCAGAACAAATAGACAATCAAACGATTCCCTGTAGGACTACCTGTGTTTCAATAACTTCCCATATGAATTTCTTGGAAACGGGACAATCCAGCACGGCGATCAACAGTGGTGACAGTTGCCACAGGCTGATCGCGTACCCTGGTGGAGCTCTGAACTCTTCTAAAACGTCGACGTGGAAGGTAAAGGAACACAAAAGAGAGTCAGAGACTAACGTAAAAAGAGCGGATCATGCACGTATGGTCGTAGCCTACACGTGGGTTAAGTGCTGCATGTGAGTAGGAAAGGCAGAGAAAGGCAACGTAATATAATGTGTTTGTAGTGTGTGCACGAGCGCGCGCGAACGAGTATAGTTGTCTGCCTGTGTTGGATTCGCTTTTGGGTGCATGCTCTACAGGGATTTTCATGAAGCAGGCAACTTAAAGAAACAAAACACGCAATTATTGCGCCATTGCTTTCTCTGTAAGTTTTACTGATGCAACCTAATCTCTCTTAAGGAGTCATTAAAAACGTAATACTCCATTCCTGAGTGTTACAAATATTTTACCATCAACATGCCACCTTTCAGCAACTGTGAAAATCAGGGCCGTTCTAGACCAACACAAGTTTTTGTATATTGCCGAGGGGCTTTCGCGTTCTGTAACTTTCCCAGGAGAATCCTGCAATCCTTAAATCGAACACCACAATCACCTAAACTGGAGTTAAGGGGTTCACATGACAGCAGGACCCATGTCTGCAAGATGTGAGTGTTCCAGTCCCCGGACCGCTCTTTCATTTGACTGCAGCAGTACACTGGAGCTGGAAGATAGAGGTGGGGGAATGCATACAGCTGCCGATTCTGAACCATATGGCCACATTCCAAAACTCTATTTGTGTTTATGAATATTCATAGGTTTTGTGCGCAGGAGCACAGGGAAGTCATCTGTTCCGAACGCAACTGTGTATGCGTGGAGTGGGTTTTCAATTAGCATGTAGATAAACATCCTTAAATGACCTTGTTTTACAGCTCTCTCAGCAGTTTCCTCTTTGCTCTGACTGAAAATTGAGTTTGATTATTAAGGATTGTACTCGAAAGAGGGATGGACTGCCTTCTAAAACTTAATTGTTGAACGATAGTTTGATGGCTACTCTTTACCGCATCCTTGATTTTATAGAGGCCCCGCTGTTTATTGGACTGAAATGGACAGTGCAGTTCCACAGTGAAGCATGACAGAATGTTTACAAGGGGTCGAGTGAGGCACGCAGAGAGACTCACCTAAAAAGGAGGATTTTCTTCTCTTTTGCACTTTTTGCACTCTTTGTACACTATTCTTTGTTATGTATTTATTTTTCTTCCAGTCTGAAGCATATGGGAAAGAATGGTGTCATATTTAGCGGCCCACACGGCTCCGCTTCTCCACAAAAGCCCTCTTGCAGTCATATCTTAGCCTGCTGTCGCCTGATAAAGGAGCTTTGACCCTCCACTGCCACCAGGCTTTTTTATTAGAAGAATGGCAGTCTTTGATTAGGTGGTGATCCACTTCCATTTGTTGGATAAAGGAATGTGAACCTTTGTGCTTTTATCTCCTCTGTGCCTGTCGGGGTGAGAGATGAGGACCAACTTAAGGCCATCGATCTGCTTTATGGAGAAATCTGTGAAACTAATGCAATCTAAATCTTCCTGGATTGCTTTTATAAATCGTCAAGAAGTGTTTTCAGATGTAGATAATGGTATTATTGTTTCCTCCTTCCTGGTGAGTGTTTGTTGATTTTTCCTTTCAGTAAGTGACAATGATAAAAACTAAAATGCATACCAACACTGTCCTATTGCCCATCCCTTGTCATAAGTTACTGACAGCCAAAAGAAAAAAAAAATAGCCTGAAGACATTTGCTGCTCAAAAGAAATTCTAACCATTTTTATAGTGCTTTCCTCTCCTGGGGATTTCACCCTGTCGTCAGATAAAGAATAAAAAAACCTTCTGTTTGTGTAATCTAGACTGTAGTTTCATTGTGAGAAGAGTGGAAACCATTAAGTTTCCTATAAATCTCTACACTTCTCAACAAACGAATCACTTTTGAACCGCTGGCATCAATAATACATGTGTAGTACCCACAATGCGGCCCAAGAATCCCTCATGAAAAATCACTCTGGGACTGAAAGTGTTGTACAGTGACCCACTCAAAAGTGAGTCTATGACCTTATTGTCCATAATGGTGTTTTTTATTCTGCTATGATATTACTGTAATATTCTTTAAACATCTCCACAGGGACTTATGTCTATTATATCTGTATCAAATTCTTTAAAAATGTATTCAATTACCACATATGTCTTTATTTAGGATGACAAAGGGGATTGTATCATTATTTTTTTTTTCATTCTGAAGACACAACTGCAGACATTGTTTTCCAGTTTTGACTTGTTGATGGGCTGATAACCAGTCAGACTGTCTGCAGAAATGATTGGATCATATCCCGTGTGACCTTTACAAGCACTGCGCCCTCATTTATCACCTGCAGATATGAATGCACCATACATGTGCATGTGCTTTGCCATGCATCACGATCGGCTCGGCTAATAAATGTCCTTTTTGTGAAGGATGTCGTAATTGGATTGAAGCATCACGCATGTCTGTACATGCTTGATTTGACCAGCTGTTTATCATGTGTGTATTTAAAATGCAAATTCTATGTTTGAAGCGTGCTTTACAAGCAATTAGTTTACTGCAGATTTGATAGGGTCCGTTCAAAACGGAATGCTTTATGCTGTTTTTCACTGCCTCTATGTTTCTCTGCTTTTTATGGTTTCTCTTTTTGCTTGCTGTAAATTGAGCGAGCTTTGAGTTTTTGTGTGCAAGAGAATGAAAGGGAAAGGAGCAAGAGAGATACACGCAAATAGAAATTCTGATAGGGCCTGTGTTGCACAGAGGCTGAGTGCTGAATACACAGCATCCAAAGACCTTCATTAAAAAGGTAGTGCAAAAAAACCCCAAAACAGTCAGATACACAAACACAAGCAATATCTTTGACAATATACCACAGCTAGTTTAGACAGATCAGGGACTTGAGTTTCAGATGCGGGGAAATCTATTCAGTTGGCAAATGTGCATTTAGGGCCACCAAGGAGGGCTTGCAGC